CCTCATTGGTCACCTCGAACCGCCAAATTCAAATTCGGTGCACGAAGTGCGCACTAGGTTTCGTTAAATCTGATAAGAAATCATTAATTTTCAACAAGGCGCTTATAATTTGAAACGGAAAACATTCGACAGTGTTAATTGCCGCTTCACCAATTTACAGAAAAACACGTGTATTACCCCGTACTCCCCTATATTATCAACTTTTTATAAAAAAAAAACTTTGATAAATCTGCGAGTTGCTCTTAATTAGGAATGACTTCAAAAGTCTAAAATAACTGGATGTTTGAGATTAAAAAAAAATGTATCCGGTGGACTCGGCATAGTGTACATGGAATCCGGTCCATTCCCCCATACATATCAGTGATACCCGGGTATCTTTCCCATCGTTATAAAAAAGAACTGTGAAAAAAAAATGGTCTTGATCGGGTTCTCATGCAGATGTGTATCCTTACGGCAGGGTTTTTTTCAATAGATACGAGAAAGAAAGGAGCCCCAGGAGCTAAGGCGGGAGCCAAGTCAAGGTGAACCGGCTGTCTCTTCGCCTCGTTTTGTGTACAAGCTACATCGAGGATTTTACCTCTCAAGGTGTATAATACCGTATCCCTTTGCGGTTCCCTTTTCACCGATTATTTCTCACTGCACTAACGAACACCGAGGTTAATCGTTACGATGTCGCCTGATCGACAATAACTAATCGAATTTATGGTCTCGTCGGTCGAACCCTTTTAACCCGTGTGGGCCTTATCTCGAGTATTCAACAAAATTGAAGGACGAGACAATAGAATTGATGGAATTGCCTGGATTTTCATTCTTACGGGGAAAAGTCGATGGAGATAAGTGCTCGGTTGGCTTTTGTGTCGAGCTATTTTGCCGACAAAACCCATCGCCGGAGTCCAATGCACCGGGTACGTGCATCACCATGACTCTGTTCTGATCGAATTGATAACAATATACCTTTCAAAATTTTCACTCAAATATCCGGTAAGAAATTCATTTTCAGGGAATTTATTGAGCTTTTAAATGATTCCCTAGGATCCTATGCAAAAAAAAAACAAATACTTGAATTAAGTATATATATATATGTATATATATATATATATATATATATATCTTAAGGACAGGTTATACTTAAAATAAGTATATTGTTTATTATACTAATACTTATAATTATTGCACCGATTATATTTATTTATTATACTCACAATAACTTTATAAGTAAAAAATATAGTTAAAGTGAATATATTCATATACTTGATTCAAGTATTTATTTTTTCTATGTAGGGCAAAGGTCATTTTTTTCCACTCCCGTATTTTCCCCGGCCCTTAGGGTTTCTTTACTGCCTACGACGCGAATACACGTAAAACCAATCATAGGTTGAAAGTCAAAATCAAAAGATAAAATCATTTTCCTCCCCCCAAGATTTGACATCAGGATGATGGTCCCCGACGAAAAAGGTATCATCTCATTTTCACGATTTTCTTATTTCCTCGGACTAATTCCCTAACATACATAATTACCTGCGATATCAAAAAAAATAATTTACAAATGGAGAGATAGAGAAAAAACCTTAATCGTCACGTCGACAATGTATCCAAATTGCAAGAAACCCCCGTAAATCGAGAAAGTCGTCGTCGTGCTCCGTCGACCGGAACTCACCGAAACTCGTCTCCCACAACTCTAACGAATGATTCTTCAGTGGAGAATACTCCGAGGGGAAGTCGAATGAAAATAGAGGACTGGGGTACGCGAATTCCGGCTCACAAGCGTTGTTCCGGTTTGCATGCGTCCAAAAGACGTTTTGCGTATGTGTGAGGAATGAAGAGAAGAGAAGGAATCTCGTGTGGGTGTGGGAAACCCGAACGCAAGAGAAAAAATCAGTGAAAAATTCACGATTTTCGAATGAATCTTATGGTCCCGGTAAAATCTTTATTCTTCTCGACAATAGGAGGGTGCAGATGAAAATTCTTGTCATATTTCAATATACCCGACGGACAAATATAAAAGAAAATTAATATTCAATTCCCAAATTCGGAGAATTTCGTTACGTACAGCTAGAAGGGTTTAATAGTGATAAAAAAAATCAACGCGTCTTGAAATATCTCAATAGTTGTTTAAAAATCATGCCCCAATTACTATTATGATCATTCCGATAATTTATCTATTGATGAATCAAAAATTCAATTTAAATCCAAGAATTTACGTTCTGTAAAAGTTAGAAATCGATCACTTCTAGTTTTGTATGGACAAATTGTTAAAACTGAAGAATCTCTGTTCCTCTTCTGAATTCAAAGTCAACTTTCTTTCCTCAGATGTTGCGTTGACACGGGGCATTATTTTTAAACCGGGCTCGTTTTAACACGCTGTGTATCTGTTCTGTTGAACACCCGCTGTCAAGGGCTGTCTAGAATCTACAGTCGAAGAAAGAGATTTGATGGATATTTGTCAGGTCAACCGAGACTTCACCAATAATTTCAAAGAAAATGTCCCTAAAATTTTTCCCACTCCCTAATTCTACCAGGTCAATTTTCCTAGCTACTTCCTAGCTACTATAACAATACAATTCTTCATGCAAGGAACAAACCCAAAATTGGCTCATTAATAATTACTATTGTCCTCATTTGTCCTCCAATTTTAGATATAACTCGGAAAGTTAGGCCCTACTCTAAACAATGAATAATAAATTCGTTTCTTCGACTATTCGTTGTTAGACGTATGGTAAATCTCAGTCCGATGGCCCGAATTTTTAAAACTACCAGTTTTTTTTCTCCTAAATTTCCCTGGAAATGTCACGAAACTGTCAGAATGATTTTTCTTTCGAATTATAGCATCAACCTCGAGTGCGCTGATTATATTAAATGGCTGGTAAAACGGTCTGCTTAACATAGCGTTTATCTGCTCTTCTTGGTTTTAGTACTTTTTCACTGCCTCGTCAGCCATTGGCCATAAACTCACTGGGGCTCTCTCGGCACCCAAGAGTCCTTCTCTTCATCTCTTCGGAGATCCTCCTCTCTTTTATCTATCAATATATAAACACACCTATTCCCTTCTTCCCCTGACCGCAACAGCGGCATCAAAAAGCTTTTACAACGGTTTTTCGTTCTGACCTGTCCACTTTTGTATGAAGACCACAACTGAATCTTTATGCCACAGGGTGTCAAACACCGGAAAATTCAAACCCTTTTTCTGCACTTGTTCTAGACTTAAGAATTATCAGCTGACGGATAAATTTATTCATTTAGCTTTCTTTGACTTCAACTCTTCAACTTTTCGAACTTTTTAGAATTTCGGTTTAAGGGACGTTCCTCACGAAAAAATTAATTTTATTGAATTTTTAAGATGAACGACTTGATCTTTACGGAGAAAAAAATAATGATGAAATTTATCGCGATAGTGTTGGAGCATTATAATATTTTAATTTGAATATTTTATTTTCTTTAGGATCACCTACAACTTCAATTGAAAATGAATAAAGATAAATTTTTTGGTAAACATAATTGAATAATTATCACTGAAAAAAGTCTAGACAAGTTTATTCTCTTGTAATCAACTCCAAAGTAAGCAAAAAAAAAATAAAAATATCCGCAAGCTTGAAATGGCTCATTTTTCCTGGTGTGCGTCCCAATTTTCCTAGCCAGTGGAAATTGGAAGTGCACGTCAAAGAAATACCCTTATCCCCCTAAAAATTGAAAAATGACAGATAAATGACTATGAGACACGTACATGGACGATCGAAACGAAAACCCGTTCGACTCGGTTATACCCAGGGAGCAAAGGAGCGCGACGAAGGCAGCCGACGACGTGCGGTCGTTCCCCCTTGGATTGTCGGTAGAAAATATACATATATGTATATATACATATATGCGTGAACGCACAGAAACGTTTCCACCAGACAGAGACAGGGGATCAACCGGGGAGAGAGAAGAAGGAGGGTGTAGCATTCAAGACAGAGACAAATATTAAGAAAATAAGGAGCCAGAGAAGGATGAATATACTAGGGAGAGGAATTCTTGGGAGGCAAGGGGCTTTGTATTGCTTCTACCCCGATTCTCTCGAATCTGATGCCCTTCGTTCTTCCCCACCCCCGTCTGTCCCCATCATCTTTGTTCCCCTCATTTCGAACAGCGGGGGTGTATACCAAGAAAAGAGAGGAACCCCCCACCCCCTTGGCTCTGTTGCCAGTCGACGATACATTCTCTCTTCACTTTACTCCCTAAAAAAAATCCCCTCACCACCCCCTAAATGCGTTTGAAGGGATCTCCCCGAAAAATAATTGCACGTTTCGTGGTCTCTTGATCCGACGCGTAAAGTAATCCAAACACAGCATAAAAATTATGTTTACGAGTTTCAAATGGTTATAGAGGGGTTTTTCGTGTTCCTTATATTGCCCTAATGTTGTTTGAAAATGGGGATGCGTGGAGGGATGTTTGCTGAGGCATTGGTAAGATTTATCCCTCGGTTTCGGTTATCAACAGACTGCTTGGGGATTGTTTCTGGGTGATTTTGAATTATCTAATAAAATTGAGGTAATGGGCGCATGCTGCTTGGCTTAATTTATGACTCTGATATCATCGGGTTTTTACGGATGTGAAGAACACTTGTTACGGGAGATAAGGAGTTTGATGGATTCTCTCACAGTGTCGCACGTTTTTTGGATTCAAGGAAATTTGTGCCTGGCTATTTTGTATTTTTTGTTCCAATTTTGGATTTTCGCATGGAAATCGTTCAGCGTGAGAGTTAAGTTTAATTTAGAGTGAAATGTACGGATTTAATCCCAAGAACCTGATCGAACATTCAAGGAATTAAATGATTTTTTTTTTATCAGAATTCAATGGAGATTATTTATGGCGGAAAATTTCAAGACATTTACTTGAAATTGTCTCAGTCCTGTCTCGTTTTTTCGGAAACGAGATAATTTTTAAAGCTCATTGCCTTCCAGTATTTGCAGTTTTATCAACTTAAATATGAGAAGTGTAAAAACATAAAAATATTGAAAACTCACCGGTTTTCTCCTTGATTTCACAGAGCACAGAGAATAGCGCTGGCTTCATCCTGTGGCAGTTGAGGGTGTGTTTTCTGTTGACAAACAATAAAAAATAGTTACCGACGGAAAATCACCCCGGGTAAATAACAAGAAAGCACCCCAGGGATTATCAAGTTAAAAAAAGGCCCCTCTGACCGTCCAGACATAGGGGAATTAACAAGATTTTAACGAGGAAATTGTTAGTGGTATTCTGCAGGTGTAATTGCATTATACCGAGGTAATTCTATATCTCGAGGTGGTCTGATATCGATAATTGTGGGGTAACGAGGTAATTACATATGCTTTTGTTCCAACATGTTTTTTTTTAATTCTCCAGGTGAACGAATTGATTACACACGAGATTATCTTATTAGTGATTGCTACGGGAAAGTTGAAAATGAAGATTTAATTTTTTTTAATCACCTCGCCTGTGCCTCGTCCAGACTCTGATCCGTGATATTCATGATTTGTTGTAGAATTTCCCCGATGTCTTGTTTACGCGCCTCAACAGCTTGTTCGGGACCCTGTGATGCTGAACCATCAACCGGTCCCATACTTCCATATCCACCAGCATTCTGGGCACCCTGGCCACCATTTCCACCCATCAGACCAACATTCGAACCTCCGTGCTGCAGCATTCTTGCACTTTCATCCATCAACTACCCAAATCCAACGATTTATCGGTTCCTCCCACTCTCCAACTTTACTTCACTCCGATTCTCACGATATATCTCAGCTCCAATAAATTTGTATAAACAAGAATGATTATTTATTATTCACGTTATTCTCATCCTCGTCTCTCTCTCATCGGAAATCCATAAAATATAAAACGATATCAAACAGATTGTTCCATCAACGTTTTGGAGGTTATGCCTAACGTCTTTGTCCCTACGGCCGACTGATAAATACCGATGAAATGTGCAAATGAAATTCCCTAATTACTCCCAAACGTCAGATAAAATCCACTCTTCTATTATAAGAAAACTCCAAGTTCATTAATTCTCGTATACATACACCACAAGTATAAAATGGTGTCCTCGTGTACTTTTGACGGATTGTCGTGTGTTATTTTTTATATTTTTTTATTTTACGTATACGCAATTTCAAGGTCGCATATGAAGCGACGTATGTTCCCCTTCCAGACTCTGCACTTTTAACCTCCTCACTCCCTCACGATATTAATTCACTCTGGACACAAGCGCGCGAATTCACCACCAATGTCTCACAGCGGTTAAATGTAAACATGAAGACAACCCAATGTAATATCGAAAAGATGCCACGGGCCTAGTGTGATTGTTGAAACGATTAAGTCACTGTTGTGCACTGTTGGTGTTTGGTACTTTGTTTAACAACTAGAGGAGATAAAAACACTGGAGCACTCACTTGTGTCCGCCTTACAAGGCAACGCGCCGAACCTTTCTGTCGCACTCCCGCCGTCTGGACAGACGAGAACAGACGAAAATTCCCTTCTACCCCCTCCCCTCGAGCGAACAAACCCCCGCTGACGAGAACACGAGACAAAGAGGACGCGTGTGCGTGTGCGTCACTGGCTTTTCCATTTATATGTGTTACAAGGGTGAGGGAATTTTTTTCCGTGTGTCAGTGAGAACGAGTCGGCGGCCATAGCTCTACTGGCCAATCACACAGACGCATGCGTCATCCCTCTTCTCCCTCTGATACCCCCACGCCCAGCGCCCCCTCTTCGCCCTCTTTGACAACTCAACCCTCTCCTCTTTCCCCGGCCCCACTCCACAGCACTTCCGAGTTTTTGCCACTATTGCCGATTTCACCCGATTACAACCGAATTTCCCTCTCTGTCCGAATTATTTTTCCTGCTCCCTACACTCTCTTGTCCACTGCGGCATTTTTTCCACGTCCATTATTTTTCGCTCTGGGGAGGGGGTCAAAACTGTTTTGGCATTTTTTGGAAATTGGCGAGAATTTTTGAGGATTTCGGGAATTTACGGAGATTTGACACCGCACACCGCGCACCCGACGCGATCAGATGCCGCTGAGACGATGCCACTGACAAGCTCCGCCCACCGTGTTGCTGGCCTTTTTTTTTTATTTTTTTTCTCTTGAGGAATGGTGGTTTTTTTTCGGGGAGGATGAGAATTTTTTTGTTGCGAGGGGTGGGAAGACTACACGTGGAGAAACTCGAAATTTTGGGTTTTTTTTTAGGGGGTTTGTAAGGCAGATCGGTCGGACATCTGACGGGAAATCTGAGGGGCTTACTCGGCTGGTCAATTCCGGTGGCGGGAACTGATTTTTTTAACTCCCGTGTTTTCTTCGGATTCGGAGAATTCTTTTATTGAAGTTGTTACCATTGGAAAATTATTAACCCAATTTTATTACGTTAGTTCATTGAAAAATTATTATAAATCGCAAAAATTAAATAAAAGGACAACATTTGATTCAACTAAACTAGAAATATCAATTCGTCAAACTTTAATGAATATCTTGAAACCGAATGGAGACTCCTAATTTTTTATATAATGAAATATTGTATCGTACAAATTTCGCTATCTCTTCGCTTCGGAAATAATCTCCACAAAGTAAAAGTAATAAAGGAATAAATTGATTTTTAAAAATTTACCATTTCATCACTGAATTGTTTGATACGTCCCCTGGTGACCGCGGATCGAATCTACTCAAGAGAGAGAACGTATACCGGCAAAAAGTAAACATATCGCCAGCCGCTTAAATTTCTCTGCAAAAATAAGCAAACCCACGGGATAAACATCCATAAATATAACAGACTAAAATATTTCCATTGATAAACCAGTGTTATCGAATCGATCAGTCCAATGTACTCGTTAAATCGATCATTTTCTGTCACGAACACCACGTGGGCAATGTCATTACAACAAAAACTTACGGGTTCCCCTGGTTCCTTGAATTGGCCGTTTACTCTCGGAATCTACATCAACTACCTGCCAAATAAGAGAGAATGGTCCGTGCAGTTCTCCAACGCCCATGTCCAGCTCAAACTTCACCAAATCTACCAGTTTTTCTCAGTCTGTGGCAGGATCACCAACGTAATTCAATGCACTAATTACAATCGAATTGTCTACGTTAATTTCTCCTCGGAGATGGACGCGAAGCGCTGTGTCATCGCGATGATGCAGCAGAGGATTATCCAGCTGATACCGTTTGTGAGGAATCAACGGAACAATCAGAGTTCCGGGACCAGCAGCTTCAAGAACCTGACGTCAACAAATAAAAAACGGAATATTAGTGATGGGATGAATACGAACGGAAATATAAACGGATTGAGCAAAGAGGAATCTCCTGTCAAGGACGCAACTGAGGAGGCAGTAGATCCAGAGGATCCACCGAAGAGATCCACAACTCAGGTTTCAGAGGGTGAAATGCAGCTGTCAGGCATTGAGGTATCGACCGGGAAAAGTAAAACTGTTAACGTACCTGAGAGGATGGAGGAGAAATTCAGCACCACGAAGGAGTACAAGCCCCAGGTGATCGTCGACGCTCAGGAAGTCATTGTCGCGAATGTCCCTGAGGGGTATGGAGTCTTCTATGTTCTCCATCTTCTTGAGAAGTTAGAACCCATTTTCGTGACGGAGATGAAGACCTTGGAAGAACAGTCTCTTAGGTATTGTCTTGTTTATTTCAAAACTCCTAGAGATGCAGAAGCTGCCCAGGTAGCTTTCGATAATGTGGAGCTTGCTGGAAAACATCTGATTATCATGACGCCTCACTCCATGGCTGAAGAGGCTGAAAAATAGAGGTGGAGGAATCTTTAACTTTTCATTTTCTGTCAATTTTTTCATTCTTCGCGGCATTTCCATGAATATCTGGCAAGTTAGGAGTGACATGAAAATTTTTCCTGAAACCTTTTTTATAAAGCTGTTGACACCTGTAAGGACAATTATTGGAAAAATTTTACTATCTGAGATATTTATCGAAAGCGAGTTACGCAGACTTGAATCGTTTTGCAGATTTGCTATTCAAGTTTTTTGTACTAGTTTAAACTAGTATGTTTATGATTTAAAGAGTTATTTTTCCTTACCAACAATGGATTTTTTTAAATAATATATCAAGACTAATAGTATCATCACGAGCTGTTACGAGGAAATTCATCATTCGTATGCAACTGGCGTCGGACACAATTATATTGATATTAATACGATTTATTTTTATTAAGAAAAGACGAAATAAAAAAAAGTAGGTTTTTTTGTCAACATGACATTTTTTTTTATTATAGAACAATCATAAAATTATATTAATGTGCTATGTTTTGATACGAAAAGGAAAATAATAAATGAATTATTCATGAAAATCTTCCACTTGTTAATTTTTATAGTCCGACTCATGTACAGAATAGATTGTCCTGCCCTCTTTCCACTGGGCTCAATACTGAAAGG